TAAAGCGGTTTTTTTGTACAAAAATTAAGATTTTTATACTAAAAAGCCGCTTTAAGAAGCAGCAAAAGAGCCGTCCCAAACGAAGCCTTAATATTTTTTTAGCACTCGGCTTCATTGCAGCCCAACAGAAGCAATTCATCCAAGAAACGTGCATGCTTTCTAACTATACATCTGGCTTTTAAAGTTTCAGAAGGAACATAATTCCTACTTAAGGATTAGCTAACACGAAAGAAAGATAATCTTTATTAGGATATTCTCATACGTCTTATATTAATATTACAAATAATAATAATAAAATATAAAAGATAAACTCTTAAATTATATTTTCATACTATTTAAATCTATATATTTTTTATATTTTAAATTAATTTGCCTTATTATTATGCCATACAAAATATATCAACATATTTTGATATAAATTTTTATTTTTTAATACCAAATCTTGTGGCGTTTTAGAAACTGTTGGTCCAACTTCTTATTACTTTCTAAAATAGTTTTTAGTACAAAATTTTTTTGAACTAAAAATTTTTGTACTAAAAAATTGTTTTAAAAAACAGTAAGAAAGTTGTCCCAAACGAAACCTAAGTTATGAAAATTTGGATGCATGGATTTTTTAGGAATTGGTTCATAATCTAACTTTGATTTAATTTTAATAAATAGAAAAAAAAAACTCAACCTTATTTGAAGGTAGCGAAGGCCTTTGGGAGACACAATTGTATGTGTTGTTACTGCGAGCTTAGTTTTTATCTAGGGCAGCTTTCTTATTGCTTCTTGAAGCAACTTTTAATAAAAATTTAAAATTTTATACTAAAAAGTTGTTTTAAGAAACAGTAAGAAAGAAATTCTCAAATGAACAGCTCGAACTATCAACTTGAATAGCATTGTGAGGCGCAAGAGATGATTCAAATACGTAACTTAAATAGTGCTAGATGCACCAACTAAACCAGCGGCGGAACCCACGTTATGGTGGGGGGGGCAATTGCTCTCCCCTTAAAAAAAAATTTGTTTTTTATAGGAGAGAAAAAAAAAGCCCCTCCTAAAAAATAATTTTTCCCCCTCATAAAAAAAATGATTTATCCTAACTTGTTCTAAAATATCTATATATTTCTTCAAAATTTAGTTTAATATTTCTTTTTGTCTTTTTCATAACATTTATTACACTTTTTTTTTTTTATTTTTATTACTTAACTTCTTTCAAATATTTATTATACATATAATATATATATATATATATATATATTATTATATATTCTTTGATATATATATATATAAATATTATCTTTATTAGTTTTCTGTGATTGTTATTAGCTAGAGTTCTGATACCCTTCTGGTTTGTTCTGGTGCTGTCCTGGTTAGATTGGATTTCAGTGGGTTTGGTCTTTAAATATTCTTATTTCACTATAGTAATCATAGTCATATTTTACCGTTATGTAACACTGACAGAGATGTTCTTTGTTCTCAGGCCTACCTGGAAATTGGTCTTTCATCTGAATGGTTTACATGATCCTTTCCGAGTGTATAATTTTCTTTTTGTCTTTACTTTTTCTGCTATTATTTTTGGTGATGCTATGCATGTGGTCTTATTTTTGCAGGTGAATGATCAAGACTTGGTACCTTATAGTTATCCAAGATTAGCTTCTTTTTTGTTGCTATCTTTTTGCAGGAATAATATCGAGCTTCAAGCACTATTATTTATGAATCCCCTTTTAGTTGATGGCTCCTGACCTCCCTAGTTCATTTTTATTTTAGGTTTTGTTTACTTTTCTTATGCATGTATTTAGTGAGCGTGATCTTTTAGCTCGTTGATTCTTTATTTTTCATTTTGCTTGCAGCTCGACACGAGCGGTAGTGAGCATTAGATCCCTATTAAGGACTTGTAATTTGCTCAATATGAACGCATATGTCTATTCGTGGTTTTCTAAAAAAAAAGTACCAAAGCAGCTTCTTAGCACACAAAAAAATGTTGGAAGCAGTGAAAAGTAGCGGCGAATGAAAAATATTATTGTGGTTGAAAAGCAAAGTATTAAAAAATATTGTCACAAATAAAAGCCTTAATTCGTCCTTTTTTTTCTCTGTTAGTATATGGAAATCAAAGGTTTATCAAAGATCCTCGTTGATCAACTTCAATCCTATTTTTTATGCACATAAGATCTCTAACCTTGTTTGAGACAGCTTTGACCACTGTACTTTTATGCTTTCCAAAAATTTTGCTAGAATATGCTTTAAATAATTAAAAAAAATTGTCCCTAAAAACAAAGCCTTTTGATCGGCTCTTTGATATAAGAAAAATGACTTTTCTATCAAAATAAAGTTGAAAGCACTCATACTTCAATGAATGGTAAGTGTTCTATTTTTATTATTGTAAGGATTTGGGAACAATATGATTATATGAGCACTATAAGAGGTACACATAATTCAAAAAGAATAAAAAATCATAATATTAATATCAATGATTTGGAGAGAATTTTTCTTTAGCCCATAGGAAGGTGAGAGGCATGGCTTGCATTTCTTACTCCCTTTAGTGGAATAACAGCAAAGATGCCAAGTAAAGAGTGTGACTTTAGCTTCTAATTTTCAACTATTAAGTTGCTAATTAGTGGCCTTTGAACTAATTATTATGCATAATATTTATTATTATTATATATATTTATATATTGAGCTTTAAATTATGCTAATAATTTTATGATTCAAATTAATTTCATAATTCAGCTTTAAAAATAATTTAATTATGACAATTCTACAAAAAATAATATATATATTTCTCCGACTCCATAAATTTAAAATTTGAAGTGTAAGGAAGATCAGTGTTAGGTAGTTTGCAGGTTCAATACTAATGAAATGAAAGCTATTGCAAAATATCCATCTATCTTTATTTGTTAAGGTCTTAATTTGTAAATTTATTAATGATTAAGTATAATTATTTGGATAATTATTAATATTAAAATCTATATAAATAAACATAATTAAAATAATATAAAGTGACCCCTAAGCTTAGATAGGAGTGGGCGACGCACGGTGGGAACCCCATCCCGAGTTCTAATCCCCTACTACAATCTCGCCTCTTCAGTAGGGCAAAACAAAGTGTCGGTTCGATAGGTGTTCAATTTGGTCAACGGGTCGAGTTCGGATCGAACCCTGAACTGACCTGACACTATTCGGGTCAACCCGAACCGACCCGTTTTAAAACGGGTCAGATTTCCTATCTGAACCCGACACGATTCGGATTCGGGTCAACCCAAACCGACACGAAGACCCGAAGTTGACCTAAATTGCTATTTGGGTCAAAATCGGGTAAATTCTTCGATTACTGATCAAAACGTGTAAAACGGATTGATCTCAGGTTTCCTTCGGGTCAAATAGGAGTTTTTTGTGTACAATTTCGGAGTTGCTGGGTCAAACATGAATCCACTCGATTTCTAAAACTGAGTTGATTTGTTGAACCGAACCCGACCTGTTTCTGGTCCGGGTTGACCATAACCGGACTTTTTCGGTCGGGCTCGGATCGGTTTCAGGTCGTGTCAAAAATTGACACCCTAGGGTCCGATGCTGGTGGTTGACCTCGCTGAGTCCGCCGAGAGATCAGTGACGTGGTCAAACGCTTCATTTGGAGTGACAGGGGTAGATACCTCCTTCCAAATATAATCAATAATAAAATATAATATATAATAATAATAATAATATAAAGTGTCACATACTCCCATCTCAATATTTTTTTACTACAAGTGGGCCCCATGATATGATTGGCATGAAAAAGATGTGAAAATATCACACTATTTGTAACAAATATAGTTAATTCAAATATACTAAAAAAATATTAATATCTGCTGAGAGAAATATTAGTAAATTTATTTATATATAACCTCCTAACTAAAAAATAAATAAAATACTGGTTAGAGAAAGATAAACACATTGTCTTATACAAAGAAATGAGAAAGATATCAAATTCTCTCACCTCTCATGAACCCTAATTAGCCTTAAACCAACTTCACCAGCCAAAGCCAGAAGAGAAATCCCATTACAAAAAACCCTCAACAAAACCATTCTTCTTCTTCTTCTTCTTCTCTTACTGTTTCTAAGGTCTGAAAGATTCATACAGGAATGAAGAGATAACAGTTTCATTACTCTTAACCTTATCATCTTCAGAATTTTACTCTACTTCGTCTCTTTTCATTCATTTTCTGCAGGGTGAGAGCGCAAAGAAGAACCTCGGCGATGTTCGAGGATTTGAGCTATTTGGATCTCTCCTCATGTGACGAGGAGGCCATAATACCCTCATTCTCTTGTAGATAGCAAGCAGCAGCAATGATATTTGTTAGGAGATCATAAGATTCTTCCTTCTTTCAATCTCGACGGCTCTACCGCCCAGGCGGATTTAGGCTCGATCACATCAACATCAACTCAGCTTTGACGGTGAAGTAGCTTCGCTGCCTCCGCCCTCTTTGAACTATCAAATTGGGACATTTGTTCAGTGATCAACTAGCACCGCCATTATCGCTACCACAACCTTTGTATCCCGACGCCGAATTACTTTCCGAGGCGGGCCGAGCGTACCCGACTCACTA